GGCAAATGAAAATTACTAATGTTAATGGGAATGCATCTAAGACAGGCTAGGTTTAGGATAAGTTGTAAAGTAAGACCTTTATCACTTCATATATCTAGTATCTTAAAATGATAACATAGTTTGGAATGAACATAAAGCCCTGAATTTCTCTGGATAATGTGCTAATCTACCTGTAAATTCTATGCCTATGTATGTTTAATTTTGAAAATAGCAAATTTTCTTGAACTGACAGAGTATACAATCTATTTTCTCGAATTTTACATTCTAAATAGCAAATTTATTAAAATGTCACTAAATAACAATTTTCATGGAAAGTAAAGAAAAATTAAGAGTACTTCCTAGAACTTTGTAATTCTAAGTGTCTGTTATCTGTATTTTCCCTCTACTTTTTTTCTTAAAATGTGTTTTGTATTGTTTCAAACTTTTCTGACCATTGTGTCTTTTGATTACTCAATTTTGTTAAATATTCCCTTTTCCATCTCTAATGTCTTTAGTAATTCCTCATTCTTTATCTCCTATTCAATTAGTTGAGTACTTTATTTGCAATCTATCAGCACATCAACAATCTTTAGTTTTCTTTCCTACATTTCATAATTAATTTCAGTTATTCCTTCAGGCAGTTATCTGTCTTTTCAACCATTAACACTGTCTTAGCACTTGCATAAAAATATGCAAATATATATATTTAAATATACAAGATATATTTGTTTATATATATTATATATGTTTGCTTATATTGTTATAGAACAATATACTATTAATATTTATAAATGTTTGTTATATGTATATTTATTTATATTTATAGAGGAGCAGACATATAAAAGGGATTATAGTGTGCAGAATTTTCCAAATTTGTTTCACCACAAGCCTATCCTACCCTGATTTTTAGCAGAGCATCTCACAGAAATAGTGTTTCATTGAATATGGTTTGGAAGATGTCATTTATTTATCCAGTCTATCAACAAATGTTTATCTGTCAGTTACTAATGATACAACAGAAGTTAAAAATATAGGAAAAAAAGATCCCTACCCTCATGGAAATTACATTTTGGTGGAGATAGTCAATAAACATAATAACAAAAAATTATAAGGTATATTAGAAGGTAATAGGAGCTGTGATGTGAAATAAACCAGAGAGGAGATGGAGAGCCCCAGGAATAGGACTAGAGTTTGAAATAGGTGGTCTTGGAAAAATTTGTGGAGAGGAACGTTTGAACAGAGATTTGAATAATGTGATGGAGGAAGCCATGTAGATACTTGGGGACTGGGAGGCACTCCCTGCAGAAGAAAGATCAAGTGTCCTAAGGTTGGAGAGATTTTAAGACTGGCAAAGAGAGCAGGATGGTTAGAGCATGTTAGGGGAAAGGTAGATTGCAGAGATAAAGATGAAGATATAATGAAGTCAAGTTATGTAGATAATTGTAAGCTTTTGGGTTTTGTCCTGTGCCATTAGAGGGTTTTCAGACATGGGAGTAGTGTACTATCTGACATATTTAAGATGGATAACTCTGGATGCTGAACAAAGGATAGATAGCACGGGGTGTGGATAAAAGCAAGGAGACTTCCTAAAAGTTTTTTAAAGTAATGCAGGCAAGAGTTAGTGGTGACTGGAACCAGAGGAGAAACTAATGATGAATTTGTGAGAAAAGGTTAGATTCTCTGTATATTTTGATAATAGAGAAAATAGCTTTAGCTAATGGATTGGATATAGGATAGGGAGAAGACAGGAGAGAAAAGGAAAGGAAAGTAGAGAAAGGGAGATGAAAAGAGAAGAAAGCTATCGCTGGGCACGGAAGAATAGAGCTGCCCTTGACAGACAGGAGGAGGACTCTGAGTGCATCAGGCTCAGGTGGGCATGGGCGGAGGAGATGAGCTTTGAATATGTTGTGTCTGAGATGTGTATTTCACATCCACTTGGGGATATTGATGAGGTAGTTGGGTGTGCCAATCTTGAGTTGAGGGATAGGATTTAGGCTACAGGTAAACTTTCTGTTTATGTGGAGAAGGAAATGGCAACCCACTCCAGTATCCTTGCCTGGAGAATCCTGTGGACACAGGAGCCTGGTGGGTTACTGTTCACGGGGTCACAAAGAGTCGGACACGACTGAGTGACTAAGCACAAACTTTCTGTATTCAACACTGTATTATTCAACTCGGTAATTTTGTACCCTGGTAGTGCAGAATAAATCCTGCTCTGGTAGTATAAAGGTAAAATACCTTTAGCAATTTTACTTGCTTATCTGCTGCCTTCCACACCATACCACAGAGAACTGAGGGTTGCATGACACTGAACCATTGATGGGCTGATATATATATTTGCAATAGGAATCATGGAACATAATCACATGAATATATTCTAAATGAAATGTGCACAACAGTGGTAATAAGGCTTAGTGGACAGAGAGACCTTGATTCAAGTCCCAGATCCTCACTAGTGTTATGAACCTCAATTTTCTCATCCAAGATCATAGGTCATATTACCTTCCATATAGATTTATTGTGAGTATTAAATTTTACATATGGTTCTAAGCATAACCGTTCAGCACAAAATAGACACTCCATAAATATAAACAATTATACAACTTTTGACCTGTTTCAAAATAATAAAAATGTAGCAGTAGTAATGCTGTTCACATTACTAAATAGCATATGTTGGCAGTAGTAACAAATAATGGTGTAAAAATATATCCAGATGCTTCCCTTTTATGACTGGTTACATATGAGAATGTGTTGAGAATAAAGGAGTACTGGTTAGTGGCAAACTTCTAAATAATTGTCAGTATAGTAATCTTTTTTTTTTTTTTGCTTTTTTAAAATAGATGTACTTATTTATGTAAACTAATTTATTTTAAATAAGTAATGAACACACATGAAATAAATAGAAATATAGAAAGATGTAGGGAAAATTAATTCACAATCACCTAACTCTCCTCCTACCCAGTTATCTTTCCTCAAAGCAGCCATTATTGCCAGTACAATCTGTAATTATTTATCATTGCACATGGTTGTGAGTATATCCGATAGTTTCCTGGAAATGTAATTATATCCAAGAGTATATGTGCATTAAAATTGTTGATAAATATTGACAGGTTACTCTCTGTCAATGTTGCACCAATTGACAATTCCACTAACAACATCAGAAACTATCTCTTTCTTGATGACTTCATCAACAAAAATACAATTTTTAACCTGATCTTTCTATACTAATTGCCAGTAAAGCTAATATTTCACTTATTTTTATTACCAATTTTTTTTTGCTTTGTAATCAGTATATTAAAGAGACATTCATACATATCAAGATTTGCTTAAATTCTGATACCCAGATTTAAGCTTGTGAACATATGACTTTAAACATACAATTAAAACTATTCATCATAATTTGCTATACTCCTGACATTAAATTACCAGTTACTCTGGAGCATAAGTTAAATGGTTCAAAGTAAGTCTATAACGTACCTACAAAAACACCTTCCTGTCTCATGCATGCAAATTACTTCCCCATGTAAAGTTCTCATCACTCTAACCTCCAAGTTTCCCTGCTCCAGTAGTCACTACTCTAAGGCTTACTGTGGTCCAAAAAGAAGGGGGAAAACAAAAGTAATCAGGACTAATAGCTATATATATTAATAAAAGATGGCACAGGAAAAGGGAATGCAATTCTATAAGTGCAAGCCCTCAAGAAGCAGCATGTTATGATAAACCCCTTCTTTAGAAAGGTATAATTTCTATCACTGATACCACAGGCTAAATTAGGTTATACAGCATGCCATCTTCAATAACAGTTGAGGCAACAGAATAAATGCAGAAGAATCACAATGAATCCCACTTAATACAACTATACAGGCCAACACTTCTCTACAAATTAAGTTCTTTGTTTGCCAGAAATACAGTTTTAATTTCATAGCTTAACAATTAAGGGTCATACACTGAAGTCAATACATATATATGACATTTTGGTCTAAACTCTTCCATGTACATAGCTGGAATCAATTACAAAGTATGGCCTAAAAAATGCTAGGGGAAAATTTTTAAAGTAGATTTTACAAGTATTAAACTTGCACACTGAAATCACCATATATACAGAGCAAAATCAGAGCTTTTATATTTGAGTTTATTCTTCATTAAAGCAAAACAATAGCGAGTAGTGAGCGTATTATGATTATGGTCCTTCACTCAATCACTGCTGCAAATAAAACACCAGCAGTGAGTGTTATTCACGAGCCCTACTAAGAAGTCTGACACTGAACACCTCCCCAAGGATGAGGTTCACCATCCTCATAGGCATCTCCATTGTAATGGCGCCATCTTTCCTGATCTGGATCGAAGTCCACTAATTCTTCTTGGTCCATTTCATCAGTCTCTTCTACTTCCTTCCTCTCAGGCAGAAGTTTTTCCAGCAAAGAGAATTTATCAGGAGAGAGAAAGCCATTCTCAGGAAAGTTTACCTTAAATTCAATGATTAGGTGACCCTTTTAATATAGCCTATGATAAATTGGCATGCCTTCATTTAGCAAACACTTGATATCTCCCTGCTGGACAATCTGACCTGGATGAGAAGTGATGACTATGGTTCAGTTGTCAAGAGTAAATATTGGCTTCTGGAAGCCACACAGTGCCTCAACCAGCTGTATGTCCATACACATGAAAAGGTCTTCTCCTCATGGAGTAAAAACAGCATGGTCCTTCTGATCTAAAGCAATGATAATATCTCCTGGCTCCAGTCCTGGTTCTTGGTCTCCTTCACCATGGAATGTTATCTTCTGGCCATCTTTCATGCATTTGTCAATATGAACTTCTATAATTTTCTTTTCTCAAACTATATTCCTTCCATTGCAGCTTTTACATCTATCCTTAGGACTGATCTGCTCCCCATGGCCCTGGCAATCCATGCAGACAGACTGAATTTGCTAAACCATTCCAGGTCCTATTTGATGAATTTTTATTTGCATTCCAGTACCTTGATAATTGGGACAGCATTCTACTGTTCCTTTCTTACCACCTCAGCCTTCACATTTGTCACAAATCACATTCTTTGGCAGAGCTAGTTTTCTTGCTGCACCATTATATAAATCTTCTAAGATTACTGTAAGTTGATGCACAAGGTTTTTACCTTTCCTCTCTTTCTGCATCCTGCCTCCTCCTCCGAAAAACATATCAGAGATGTCCATGGGGGAGTCAAAACTCATGACTGGTCCACCTTCTTTAATTGCCTTTTCTCCTCTTTTGTCATATAATTCCCTTTTCTTTGCCTCAGAGAGCACTTCGTAAGCTTGAGAAATCTGTTTAAACTTCTCGCCTTCATTTGGATTCTTATCAGGGTGGTACTTCAAGGCCAGGTTCCTGTGAGCCTTTTTCAATTCTTCTTGGGTGGCATTGGGTTTGACCCCCAAAACATCATAGTAAGTGGTTTCTTTCACCATTTTCTACAGCTGGTGAGCAGGCCAATGCCAGTGTGGGGGACCGGGAAGGAGCGTGCTGCTGTGTGCAGCTCGGGCAGCCGCCAATCCTCTGCCTCTCACTGAGCGTTCTGGAAAGTTTCACTTTATTACTGTTTTTACAGAAGAATAACTTTAAGGGCAATTTCAAATAAATGGCAACTTATCAGGGAAATCTGAAGTACCAAAGCTACTCTCTTGAAATGAAGGTTGATTATTTGCAGTTATAGAAAGGTCACTGCAACAGTTGCTGGTAATCAACAAAGAGATAAATTTATATAGTTGTTTCTTTCAGACATAAGTTTTTTCTCTTATTGTCTGCTGGGCATATTTGCAAATGCCAAATTGTGCTCAGTCTTTATCGTATCACTAAGAACATTTTAAGATGTCTTATTTCCCACCTATATGTATGGTGAGAGGAAAGGTACATTTCCGGATAAAATAATGATGAATGTAAGTTGATGATTCACATTGCTTTAGATAAGCATTTAGTAGATTTAGATGTGACAAATGTGTTTCCTTCTAAATCGAGTATATGAAAACATTTTAAACTTAAAAACAAATTTAAGATCATATGAAAGGAGATAGGGGTCAGATTTAAGAAATGACATGCAGCGTAAATGCTGCACAAAGGTAATTTTGTTGCTTTGTGGCCCTTGTGGCTTCTCAATGTCAGGTCAGAAGGATTTGTTTCTGTTAGGTCAAGGTTCCCACAGTTCCTCAAAATTTACTTCTTGATATAGTTAGCAGTTTGATTTGGGAGTGAAATTTCCGAGAAAATGACATTTCTTTGAAAATTTATAAATATCCCTATGCTTCAGTTGCTTATGGAAGTGGAGGCAGGTGGTCTGCCGAGGAACAGATTATCTAGTTTGGGCAGATACTTCCTTAAATGCTGTTAAAAATACCCATGGCAATGCAAGGCCTTATACTTACTAGGTGGTCAATAAATATTTGTCGAATAAATGAAATAATTATATAAAGCAAAAATGAAGACATATGGAATGCTTTGGGCAAGCTACTTAACTGCTCTGATCTTCAGTTTCATCATGTATAAGATGGAGACAGTATTACTTACCTTGTAACAATTGTGAGGATTACATTGTAAAATGCAGGCAAGGTATGCTATACCTTGCCAAGCACATAGTAAAAGTTCTGTAAATATTAACTCTTATGATGATGGTTTTCTTTATAATGAAGGAGAGAATTTCATAACTTTCATTAGTACTTTCATTCATAGCATAAAGGGGAAATAACATTTTATTGAATAAGTCAGGGATTTTTAACAAAGATTTTCTTCAAAGAGGACCAGATATTTTCATTTGCTCTGCCATGTGTTGTAGTTAATATTGGTTTCCAAAATGGCACCTGAATATTAAGTCATTTAGTCATCGCTACCACTTTATCTGGGCTTCCCAGATGATGCTAGTGGTAAAGAACCCACTTGTCAATGCAGCAGATGTAAGAGACACAGGTTCAATCCCTGGGTTGGGAAGAACCCCTGAAGAAGGGAATGGCTATCCATTCCAGTATTCTTGCCTGGAGAATCCCATGGACAGAGGAGTCTGGAGGGCTCTGGCCCATAGAGTAGCAAAGAGTCAGACATGACTGAAAGGACTTAACTCACACTACTTTATCTGTATCATTAGTGTTGAAAGAAACTGCACTGTTGAGTGGATCTCATTCAAAACTGACTTGAAGATTATAGGTATCTTACACATGTCAATGCACTGTTAGATTTCCCCAGTACTTTTTCATGGACTTTGACATTTTAAACCTAGTTTACCCTTCTAGAAAACTGGGCATATATATAATAAAATTTGAGCATACTAAGCTAGGTAACTATCTGATTAGAAACTTACTGATAATTAAAAATGGCATATGACAAATATAAAATAAATCTTTTCATAGGGAAGTCTAAATTCTCTATACCTCTAAAATTCTAATCTATTGATACGTTTCAGCCCAGCCATGTATTTGAAAGAGAAGGACTATTTCACAGATCAGTTCTTGAATCTCAGCTGGCATAATTAGCTCTTTTCTTTAAAAAAATAATTTATTTATTTTTGGCAGCAATAAGTCTTCATTGATACCTGAAAGCTTTCTTTAGTTGTGGCTGTGGGTGGATGGGGGCCTGCTTTGTCGTGGTGCTCAGGCTTCTCATCGTGGTGGCTTCTCTCTTTTCTTTTTCTTTTTTTTGAGATTTGACATTATTTATTAGAAGAAAAGGAAAGAAAAATAGCAGGAAATAAGAATCATCTTACATTTGATTTTTATACTTTCCAAGATAAATTTAAACAGAAATTTATTTAATGCATGAAATGTTTTAATTATTTGGTTATTTATGTATTTAATATTTTAATTGAAGTGTAATTGGCTTACAATAGTATATTAGTTTGAGGTTATGGCACAGTAATTTGTATTGTATCATTACAGAATGACCACTATGTAACTTTGGTGACCCTCTGTCACCATACAAAGCTATTACAATGCATGGTGGCTTCTCTTGTTGTAGAGCATGGGCTCTAGAATGCGGGCTCAGTAGTTGTGGCACATGGGCTTAGTTGCCCCGTGGCACGTGTGATCTTCCAGGACCATGGATTGAGATTGTGTCCCCTGCATTGGCAGGTGGATTCTTAACCACTGGATCACTAGGGAAGCCAATGATTAACTCTTATATTCAAGACCTTATATCTCATATAGTTAATGATGGTTGTTTCCAAAATAAAATGATAACTCAAAGATGAGAGTCTGACAAACGTTTCTGGTCAGCCAAGATATTAGAAAAATAAAAGCAATGTGGTATGTTCTCCATAAATTTAAATTATAGTTTTTATAAAAATTTGAGATGTTCTATCTCATTTTTGATGTTAGATATCCACTATAAAAGGTAATGGTGATAATAGATAACAGCAATTATTATATATCAGCCAAAAAATATTGATTATTCCATGTGTGGCCTGTAGCATTTTTTTTTTTTTTCTTTCTTAGCTGGGTATAGAGTGAGTTCTAATCTCTCTTAGGGTTATACTTCCCATTCAGCTAATGACCATCCCTCCTCTATGGTATGATATTCTGTTAGAATCATGCTGCATTTATATTTCTATATTATTATTTGAATTCCACTAAATACACTATTCATTCCATGAATATTGAGTTCTCTCTTTATCCTTCTGTCTCTTTGTATATATGAGTATATATATACTCACACACACACACATACACACACAATGTGTATAGGTAGTGTATCACTAGTGTGATGTATAATCACTGGGTATTTGATAACTACTGCCTAGCACTACACCTAATTTGACATTTTTCTTGATTTAAACTCTTTTGACTATCACCTTTTTACTTTTCTATTTCCTGCAACCTTGTTCAAATAAAACAGAGAAATTGGTTTACAAATATAAAGTTGAAGGGAACTTAGAAAGTGAAGAACAAAAATGTCACCATCAGAATTTCAACAGTATGTTCTTTATTCACCTAGAAATAAAACAAGAGAATAAAAAGCACCTAAATCAAAAATATAACTTAACTGAACCCTGCAAAAGTACAATAAAGTCTGGATTATTTGTCTTAAGAAAAATGAGCCCTTCACATCATTGAGCTCCAGATTTGGGGAAAGGTTCTAGCCCACTACTTTTGGGCACTTGGACCCGCTTAAAGGGAATTGTCTGCTGTGCTTGATGGTTTGGCAGATTTCGGAAGCTGCTGGATGTTCTGGGGTCAATGGAGTAGAACACCAGAAGCTAAAACTGATTCATGATCCAGTTAGGGGAGAAGAAAAAAGTTTTTACCTGAGAGAGTTATCTTTTCCGGTAACATTTTGTGCTGGGTTGTGGTTTGGAATAATTTCACTACATTCCGAAGTAGAAATATTTTCCCCATGCTTTCAGTATAGTGGTTGATGCCTTTGGGTGAAAAGCTAGTGCTGTCCATAAACTTAATTTTTGACTTAGCTTCACAATTAATTTTGTTGTTATTGTTTAGTATTCTTATTTAAAATAGTTTGAAATAAGACTTACAAGTTTAGAAAAATCTGTTTTCTTTCCAAATTATAAACTAAAAGTGAATTCAGGAAATCGACAAAAATGCCTTTGGCTTTTATAGACTAGAAGAGTTCAGAAAATGCTTTTATACAGATAATCTTATTTGATGGATGGTGGTTCCATAAAAGAGATGTAAGAGGTAACTTGTCTACACTGACTCAACTCTTAAGTGTCCCAAGATGTACTCTCTGATTCCAAGTTTGGAATCTTTCTATGAGAACTGACTTCCTCTAATATTCTTTATTTTTTCTCTCATCTAAAATATTTTTCTATTTTATCTACTCATTCTAACTTGATGATCCAGTTGAAAAAATTATAAGGACGGGATATCTCCTTGATTATTTGCTGTATATGTTGAAGCTTTTTCATATATTCATCATCTTAGATATTCTTTATCTTTCACCATTTTAATTCCTTTTCTGTGTTTGGAGAAAAATCATGGTTTATGAAAGTCACTGAGAGATAATTATCTGCCTATAATTGATGGTAACTGCTCAGAATTTTCCAGGGACTATGTGGATTATGGCTGGTCATCACATTAGAATCTGTCTCATGGGGTTCCATCGTACCATTTGAAAAACTGTGAGGAATAGTAGGAAATGACTAAGAATTTCAACCTAAAGTGACCTGAGAGGCTTACTCTGGATCCTGTGTGATATTTTTCACTTTTAATATGAAGACTGGGATTTGTGATTTAAATTTTATTTTGTGAAGAACTTTCAGCTGAAAACTTGAGCTTTATTTTGTCTAATTTTTATTTCTGTATTTTCTCCCATTTTATTATTAGATAATTAAAATAGTTAAGATGCAAAGAATCACTTCCCCCAGAAAACCTTTTTGATGAATTTCATTCATCTGTCCTTGTTCACCAGTTTGCATGATCATGAATTATCTTTTGTTTTCTAATTAACGTTTACAGTTGGTGCATCTTCA